ACCAGACTTGCTGACGGCCATTTCAATGGCGTCGGTTAGCAGAACCTGGTGCGCAGCAGTGCTCCCCTTGGTTCAGCACAAGCTCTTTGTAAGTCCCTACCGCACGGCCAGGGCAGCAATGTCTCTTGACCTACGCGTCATGGTCCAGTCCTTTGACACGCCCCAGTGGTACCTCGCGTCCGAAGAGCTCACCATCCACATTCAGCACAGCAAGCACGTCGTGGTGCAGAAGTTCCTGAACCCCTTCAACCAAGACGGGCAAGCAGCAACAATCAGCAGGGGCGAAGAGGTTCACAGTGCTCTCTCTGACCACTACTACAGTCTCCTTTGAGAACTTGTGAGCCACAGGAATGTCATCGACTCATGCTAGGAATATGGCACAGCCTCCGCTCAGGTGTGGCACAGCCACTCAACTTGTCACTGTTCGAGATATGTTGCCTACCTGCCCTGAGAAATTGCTCTTGCAGCATGCCTGAACCAAGCTACTGCTGCATTATCGCTTGCTCTATCCTGCAATCCGAGGCCCCAGCTACCACATGGCACCAGCAGTCCTTGCTCGCGTGCCCTCTGCTGTTGTTGCTTTGTCTCCAGTCGTTCTGCGTCGCCCTGAGCTTCGTGCTTGGCCATATGACTCTGTAACGCTGTGCATGCATACCGCAGCTGTCAGTTCGAACTGCCGATACAGTAGGCAACAGCAGAAGCATAGCAGCTTTGCTCTTTAGACATGCCTTGCAGAAGCTAAGACTTCAGAACAAACTGAGACTCAGCGAAGAGCACAGCTCACCTCTTGGCCGCGTGTCACAGACTCTGGCCCATCAGCTAAAGCTGAGACCATGGACACCCCTCCCAGTTTGGGACCCTTTCTGGTGCTCAGCGATAGCACCTTGCAGCACATGCTGCGGGGACATACGTACGGAGTGTTCCCACTGCTGACGGGACAGGTCTTAAGCTGTCCAGGCGCCGCCCTCAATATTTCTGCTAGCAGCGTCCCCTCCATCATGGAGCTCCTCCACTGGCAATTTGGCCTCTTTGGGCCGCACAAATTCAAGGCGGCGGTTCAGAGTCAGCCGGTGGCCTCCATTTTGGAGAGCCACCTTGACGGACAAATCAATGTTCGCTTTATTCCGCTGTCAAGAAGCTTGCGCCCGGAGAAGCAAGTCAATTATGATTACCTGATAGACGGCAGGGTCCAATATGGTTTTGCGGACAAAAACTTGCCAAATCAGGAAATCATGGATTTGGCACAGATACCTGGAGTAGGAGGGGTAGAATGGCTCTACAACTCCAAAAATCTCCACTTCCGCCCTGATGTTGCGGACATCGTCATCCCGGCACTTGTCACAAGAGCCATCGAGGAAATGCGCAACACCCCAGGACTGCCTGTCCTCGTGGTTGCTGGCTGGAATGCTCGCCAGCAGGACATGCATGTCGAAATGCTGGCAGCCCAGGCTCTGTCACAATGCCGCACTGTCCGAGATCTTTCGGAAGTAGCCATGCAGTACGGACATGGCCCCTGGGGTATGCGCTTCATGCATCTCCCAGAATGGGAGGCCGCCCCCGTCCCGGCCCTCCTCTTTCAGACCTATGTCCACGACGACAAGCCGGAGCCCGCCCAAGTTGCGGTCAAAATGTTCGCAGGCTTCACCCGCAAATTCTGTGACGATGGTATCCTTCGGGCTACCCTGCGGCAACTTGCCGGAAAGTACGGCTCCAATCTGCTGGACCGCCTCAGTCAACCTGCTCATAGAGCCGACGTGTTCCGCTACGTTTACCACTACCAGCACGGCGGCCTCTATGTCGATATTAAATGTGGCTTTGTGGTACCCTGGGAACAGGTACTGCAGCTCATGGCAGAAGATTGGAGCACAGCTCACTCAACGAAGGCAGGTGAAGTGGGTCACAGACCCTCCCCACCTGGCCAACTCCCAAAGGACTTCATGGTCATGGCCATCGGAGTCAAAGGAGATCACATCTTTCAAGGCATCATCTATGGCAAGCCCAGGCACCCTTTGATGAGGGAGGCCATACAGCACGCCTTCAGCCGTCAAGTCATGACAGCGAAGGCGAACCTGGAATACATGATCTTCTGCAAATTTCTCTGGCAGATCTTGAGTCGAGACCTTGGTCATTCCCCTCAAGCGGGCTGGAATGTTTCCGCCAAGTTTGGCCCCATCTACCTGTTCTTGGAGTGCTGGGACAAGCGCGTGAAGAACAAAAAGTATGACAACGATGGCCACTACTTTGTGACAGCCAACAACACGACAGTCGCCTACACCAGGTGCTGGAAGTGGATGAAGGGGTTTCAGGGAGACCCCACCACCAAGGAACGAACCGATCGCATGCTGCAGAGCCAGCTTCCCGACATCTCCCTGGAAATCCAGTCCGATCGACCCGAAGAGCACAGCTCACCTCAGCCACTTAGGTCACAGACCACGGCAACCGCCACATCAGCTCCTCCTCCTCCTACTCAGGAGGACATCGAAACCTATGTGGCAGACAGCATCCAGCACAACTCCTTTGCGGCGCTCATGGCCACAGTCCGCGAGACCCATCATTATAACCAAGATCTTACAGAGCAGGATGTGCTGGAGCTCATCCCTCGCGGCTTGGGACAAATGGAGGTTTCAGGCTCCATGTGGCTGTGCTGCCTCCACTGCCGGAAGCATAACCGACAGATCCAGTTCAGCACTAGCCACGGCCTCAAAAACCACTTTGTCACGCAGAAGCATGACCCTGTGTCACAACCTGCGGCACCAAGCGACATGTCGGCAACCCTCGCACCACTTCCTCCCCCTCCCCCAAAGCATCCACAGGAGATTCCTCTCCCACCCAGCAGCACCAGGACTAAAGGATCAGACAAAGCAGCCGGTTTTGAGCCGCCGCCTTCCCCCCACTGCCCTTTCACTTCCACGGCGGCCGAAAAGGCGGCTTTCAAGGCAAGCCAGGTGGAAGCACCGAAGGCGGCCCCGGCTAAGGCCCCACCGTCCACGGTGCCCACCCCGTGCCCCCAGCCTCCGAACATCCCTGTTTCCCCGATCCCTCCGCACCCTCCCAAGTCTGCCTCTCCCCCTTCCCCTGCCACCCTGGCCGCTACGCGCTCCCACACGCCCCCCCTCCTTCCTCCCGTCCCCCGTCAGCATATGAGCCCCCGGAAACCAACGCGGCACGCGTTGGTTATGTTCCACAGCCGGCTCCACAACAGACAGTACGATACACGAGGCAGGAGCTGGCTCAACTGCTGAGCTCCCAGTCCCACCAGGACTGGATTCGGGCCTTGGCTTCCATCAATATCCTGGTGGCTCCCGTCATTCTCGGAGGCCTCACCAACCACGAGCAGCAGACCCTCTGGTCTACCAGGATGGACGCACTCCGCGAGGTACCTCCGCTGTTTTCTGCCATCAAGTCAGTAAAGACACAAACAGGCCTCACATGGGACATCGCCATGTCGGTGAGGCGGGTCCTCACCAGCGATGGGAAGGTCACTATAGCCACAGGCTCGGGAGGAGCCTATCGCGAGCTGGATGCCCCCACAAAGGTGCATGGCCTTATCCATGCCTGCTTCAACAAGATGTGGGACGAGAAGGACTTTCAGCAGCACTTCCCTTCGTGGGTAGAGTTCAACATGATCGCCACTACCATCGTGGCAGTCTACAATGAGACGGCCAAATCAGCCGGACTCCCAGCTCGTGTCTTCAGGGTCAAACCCAACAAAGATGCCTACTCCATCATGAAGATGCGGATTCAGCATGACAAGGGGCACGAGGAAGACAAGCGCATGGCCAAACTGGCTGCTGCTGCTGCGCCTAACAAGCGCCCACAGATGCAAGAGGCTGACACAGAGGGCAAGCGTCAGCGCGATGCCCCCTCCTCTTCATCCTCGACCCAGTGGGCCAGGCAGGCACGCTCCTCCCAAGAGGACGACTGGGACTGGTGGCAGCAGTGGTCCTGGCACAGTTACTCCCAGCAGTGGCCAAAAGGTCACGACCAGTGAGGGTAGAGATATGTCACAGACTTTTTGATCCCCTATGTCACAGACTCTGGGAATTCGGACCTCTTCCGACGCTTAGCAAATCTCTTCGGAAGCCTGTGAACCGCGAGCTAGTCGCTTACAAACAGCACATCACTGCATCAGAGAGTTGCCCACGTCCAAGTTGCCAACAGCCTCACTCCATCGGCGATGCATGCAGGTACACGCGGTCATGAGCACATGACCCTTACGGCCTTCTGTCTTCAACATGAGTAATCCGTGTGGGGCGCCACGAGACGGATACTCCAGGTGTCGGCTTCGTCTGAAGTACGGCCTAATTGTTGTGACAGGTGCACAGATGGACGCGTCTGTTCACACCAAGGTGTCGGAGGAGGAAGCTTTTGTAGCTGTAGTTTTCAGTAGCTTGAGCTGATTAGAGAGGTATGAGCGATGCATGCTAGAAGCAGTTTCACGAGTGCACGAGACCAAAGGCGCCCGCAAAGCGCAGAGCACGCTCGCGCAGCGTTCAATTGGAAAAATAGTAGTAGTGGTAGTGGTAGTGGTAGTAGAAGTAGTAGTAGTAGTAGTAGTAGTAGTAGTAGTAGTAGTAGTAGTAGTAGCAGTAATAGTAATAGTAGTAGTAGTAGGAGTAGTAGTAGTACTAGTAGTAGTAGCAGGAGTAGTAGTAGTAGTAGTAGTAGTAGGAAGAGGAGGAGGAGGAGGAGGAGGAGGAGGAGGAGGAGGAGGACTGTATCGTAGCGGTCGATGCGGCCATTGTTGTTTATGTTGTTGTCGCGATGATTGTAGTAGTGGCAGAATCGATAGCAGCACGAATTCGACCCTGAACAAGGCAGCAAATGCACGAGTGCTACTCAGTTCTCTGGGGCAGTGGTTGTTGTTACATGCGCATGGAGTAAGCATTACAGGGACGATAGACGCCACCACAACCACGAATCAACAGAGTCGTCATCGTCTTCCCCTCGTAGAGTTGTGACTCATCGGCATCATCGTCGTGTCCAGATCATCTTCGGCGTCACAAACACGTAGTCGTCAACAGCGGCAGCGGCGGCGTACACACCTCGATTATCAAAACCTTCGCATCATCGTCAAAATCATGGACACCATAGCCATCACCGGAAGCATTACGGTATCCAACATGGTTGTGACAGATTGCACACATAAAGAAAGGAAGAACAGTATAAGGTTTGGGGCCCAGGCCAAAAAGGAGGTGCGAAGCAAACGTCAGCTCGATGCCTTCTGCTGTCGTTGTCTTTGTGTTGGCCAAGGCACCTGGCGACCAAAAGTTCCAGCATTCGACGCCAAGCAAAAAGGCTGGCTCAGGCCCGCTATGCCGGTTTTGGTGACACTCTTGGAAACACCTGGATGGGAGCCTGTCTACGTCTAGCTGTCAGCTGCTTCTTTTCTGCACTGCCTGCATTGCACACTAGGCCATCGAGCCGCACACGTGTTGGATCACCACCTCGGTACAGAAAACAGCTCAAGCTTCAAACTGATCTGGCTCGGAACCATGTCTGCAACTGACTTCGGAGTGTACCAGTCGCTGAGGTCCAAGCTTCTTGCAATGCTATGCTCGCAGAAATCGTCCCAGCACCGGCGAACTTCGGTCTGGACCCATGCAGGGCACTACTACCGCGATGTCCAGAAAACCAAAGCTATAAAACCGCTAACACGACCACCACTTGTGCCAATGATGCTCCTTGTCGCTACTGCCACTACTCCTCCTCCTGCTGTCCTTCCTTCTCTAATATTTCGATTACTACCACCACCACTTCTCTAAAACAACTAACTGCCCCCCGCCAGTACCACCACTAGCACCAACACAGCCATCGCAACCACTACCACGAGGTAACTCCTCCTCCTCCTCCTGCCAAGGCCTCCAAGCTGCAGTCAGCCAACAAGATGTGGATACGCTCCTGGGCATCTCCTGGAGGCGCTGGCGAACTTCACAATCCTCCCGAAAACATAAACCCTATCTGAGTTGTCAATAGCCAAGCCGGCACCTGGAAGGGACTTCAGGTAGGGAGTTTGGGGACTCGGGGATGTGCTTCGGGAGGCCTGCAGGCTGCAGGAAGAATCCGTGAGACTGCTGGCAATTTTGAAGCTTCGCGAAGATTCCGAAATTCAAGAACGACGACACGAGGACGGCGATCCCGACCTGCAAACCCTGGATCCCAAAACGACTGTGATTGCACAGTGGCAAGGCGCAAACCCCATCAACAAAACACTGGAAAATGCAAACCCCGAAAGCAAGCGGCGTGGCTGGAAGGTTCCAATCTTTTGTGGATGTAGCAAACTCTGATGCCCAAACGCACAGAGCAAGCCGATCTGTTAGGAGGGAGGAGGAAAGGCGCGTTTGGGAACAAAGATGGCAACACCTTGGACAGCAAGACGTATGCAGAGTGGCCAAACTTCTAAAACCTACAAGAAAGTGGCACAACCTAAACCCCAGGGCACCATCCTAAGCCTCAAGACATATTGGGCAGGACTTGCCGCAACCTAAAGCAGAGTGGCACATCGACAGGTTTAAAACTTCCATCGTCGGTCTACCCATATTGAATATCGCTGCCAAAACCAAACTTTGGGCCAGCGATTGAAATGCATCTGTGTTGGGGCATTGGCTCTTGTCGATGTCTTACTCTCGAAGGAAAGTCGCTGCCATATGATACCATTGGCACTTATATCTCTCGTCTTCAGTTATTGACTTCGTTTTGTGACACTAGAAAATCTACTTCTGGAAAATGAAACGGGACACTTCGGGAAAGACTTGAAATAATAGGACATCCTGTCTATTCCCAAGAAGCTCCCGCATGCAGGCGCATGTGGGTGGCAGTGCAGGGCGGGGGAAGGCACAACTCGGGGCTGATTTCGAAATAAAAGGACTTTGAGTATGAGTTCGTGCGATTCTGCCATGCGCCCTTCCTGTTGAGAAATGCTCTGAGGCCCTTTCAGCTTTGCGGGCTCGGGTATCACCTATTATGTTCTCCGCTGCCAGGGTGTGAGGACTGTCTAAGGTTGGCTAAAATGTGGCAAACATGTCCTCCGGCTTTGGCGACAATGTCGGCTCGTGCATTTTCTGCTCTCTGCTGACTGCGGCAGAGCATGTAGACAGTGGCACCTGCAAGCGCAAAACTGGTTGCAACTTCCGTGACATGAGAGGTGCGCGCCTTTGGTTGCCAAAAATTGCGCAATCTCCTTGCCAATACCGGAATTACTACCCGTCCTTAGCAGGTCAATGCCCAAGTGTCGCAGAAACCTCTCCAAGCCGAGTCTGTTATGCATGCTTGCGGACAAGCCTCACGATGTACACGCGCCCGGCGAGACACATATCAGATTCCAGCACGTCCTGAAACCCACAGCGTCTAAACGGCCCTTTCCCTAGTCTGCGGGAGCACATCGACGGACATCTAGCGAGTCCTGTTCACTTCGAACCAGCACGGACAATTCCGACATGGTCTCACATGCATCCCGTCAGCCCTGTCCGGCTTCGCATAGCTCGCTTGGTGCATCTCCCAGCCACTGCTCGTAAAGTGGCGCTTGCCATAAAGGTAGAACTCAGGATGCGAAACTCCACACTCGAAAAAGGGTAGGGCTTCCCAATTCGTCGCCTGAGTCGAGGTCGCAATCTGCCAGAAGCCCATGCTTCTCACAGCCAGGACAAACAGTCTAACGGCGAATTTACATAAGCTTAAGCCAACAGCTCAGCAGAAATCTTTCTCAGAGACATGAGCTCGGAGAACGTGACAAGCAGCAGATGCAACATTTGAGGATTTCGGATGATGTGGGATTTGCCTCGAAATCTGCTCCAACTTGATCTGGAGTTCCCTGTCATGTTCGCAAACGAAAAAGAACAAATTTGCAGAGGCTGGGGCCTTGTTGGCCCGAATGTTGTTAATGTAGTCCTTTGGCTCCATGGCATTAGGCACACTCCAATGCTGCCCTGTTGCTGTGCTCAGCGGATGGATGTCACGCACTAGGTAATGGGGCTGACGTAGAGGCTGTTGTGCTGTTTCTTGGCCATTTTCTGCAGATTGCAAAGACTGAGAAGGCATAACCGGCGCAGGCTGTGCACTCCTATGCTTTTGCTGGCGGTTCTTGCGTATCACGCTTGAGCCAAACCAAGGAAATCGCAGACCCGAATGCCATGACGACACATGGTAAGACCCGGAAGACTGTCTACACCTTGCGCAAGCTGGGAAGAAGCAATTTCTTAATGCTCTGATGACACGGATTGACATGTGCCAACATGCATCATGTGAAAACTGGCAGCGACGGATGCCGTGCACCACTGTGAAAACACAAAATTATGTTGTATGTGTCTTCCAGCCTAGTATGCACCCCCGAAATTGCCCAAGCGCATTGTAAACAGAGAGGGAAACCTTTTCGGCAACCAAGTTCTTCTCCACGATTCCTTCTTTCGTTCCTAGGCAAGCACATACTGAAAGCGACACATTTGCTGGAGCGTGGTTTCAAGCAAAGGGGTTCTTCGCAGCACAAGGACAGCAGACTAGTTCGTGGGTTGACAAAAACTAAGAGCGAACAGACTCCCGAACACCAGCTCAAAATGCGAGTATCAGCTTCTTAAGCTTCGAAGTATACGAAACCTTGTGAATGAGTGAGAAACAGAGGGCCTGTCAGGCAATAGAACCCAGATCCCAAAACATCAGCTGACCGAACAAACAATTCAGTGAAAATGACAGACTAAAACAACACCATACACAGTTAAATTTCGCGAAGTTGTTTGTTGCATGTTCTTTTCTGTCTTTGAGGCTTTGCAGGAAAACTGTCTGGCTCAAAACCTAACCAACTAAGTAAACTGCCTGACTAGACTCTTTCCAACCAACTCACCAACTAACAACTAACAGGCACTAACCTGAAACTACAGCCTATCGAGCTGGCTTGCAAGGGTCTGAACATGTTTGGTCGAGGGAACAGGAAGGCTTTGTCTTCCGTTCTTTAGGTTTCTCAAAAAAAAATTCCGCTTTGTTGACAGCGTTAGCTTTTGTTTGGCGTCGACGGGTCTTAGTGACTGCAGCTGCAGCAATGGGTCCAAAAAAAGTCCAAAGCAACAAAAACACACGAAAACAACGGTAAAAAGAGACGACAACACACTTACTGCGGCCTCTGGAATAAAGAAGCCGTTCAGCTTGGAAAAAAAGCCCTCGCTCAGCTCGTTTGGCGCTTACAGCTTTGCTCAGTTGGCTACGTCGTCGTGAGACCAACACTTCGGCAAAATGTTGCCACATTTGAGTTGGAGTCCAAGTCTGCAAGCTCTCAGTCAAAGAGTGCATGTTCTGGCACAATGCGACATTTAATTGCAGAAGCTTCACTGAAACCTTTCTTGAATCTTTGCATCTCCACAGAAGTCTCATCCAAGGACGTTCTACCTTTCAGTTTCAGGAAGGTCGGCCTCTCGTTGGACTGATAACGTCGAATGCACTCCACTTCCTCCTCTGCCGCTCAAACACTGCAATGTTGGATGCTGCTTCTGCGATGGAGACAAATCGTTGAAACATTCTTGGCCATTTTAAATGACGCGCATTATGACAGTTCATGTGCCCCTAAACCATTGACAAGACCATCCTTAACCCTTTCGAGTAATGCTGTTGCCTAAATGCTGTAGCCAAACCAAGCTGGATGTACGATGTGCAACTGCCAGATACAAGCCAGACGATTCCGGGGGTCTGACCACAGAGAAGTCTGAATCTTGTCCAGCTCAACATCTGCACCCTTCAACGGCTGGTCGACGATGGCACAAAGTGCGGGTTGAAGGGAGAGCGCATTGATGATCAACTCTGAGCGAGAAGCAGACAACAGTCATCGGTCACAGGTGAAGCTTTGAAGTGCAGAGCTTGAGAAGTCCTGCAATGCCTTTTGAAGTCTCTGGGCTCCTAACAAGTCGGAGTCCTAGACTCCAACTTCTCCGCACAGTTTGAAGATGACAACAACATTTCATTTTCTTCTATCCAAAAGCTCAATTCAAGCCGTTTAGATGGCAGTCAGCATGGAGCTTCCACCCAATGAAAACAGCCAATTGTCCAAACTGGGGAGGCCCCTGTGGCGCACACGTTTTCGAAGGGTTTTTCGGCCTCGAACATGAGCCCGTCAAATCTGTCAAAATGAAGGTCGAGACAAGGTCCAGGATATTCGGGAGGCTCCCACATGAGTTTGCCCTGTGCAGCCTACAATTTCGGTTTGCTCTCCGGCTCTCTGTTATGTCTCATTGTGTGGAGCCCCATCCGCAAAAAACGCTAAACCCAACACACAACATCAAACGCGCGGTTTAAACCAAAACACGCGGGTTGCTGTTGTCCTAAACCCTCCTGCAGGGCCGCTTAGACGTTTTGACTTGCTTCAAACTAAACCAGCCTCTGACTAGTCTGATGTTACGAACTTTTCCACTATCCTCGAGCAACCAAGCCTTCAGTCGTAACGAAATCAGCAAGTGCATAACTAAAGGAGCGAAAGTAAAATTGCATGATAAATCAGTGTAAAAACCATGCTCACGAATACCGGAAAATCGTTCGTACCCCGCCTCAGGCTGTTCTATCGGCAAATGGGCAGACTGTTCATGAACGATTCCGAAAAGTACGAAACAACAGCTTGCACGATGTTTAAACACGCTCCAATGCACTTGTTTTCATGACTTAGTCAATCTAGATATGCGTATCGGGCTCGGTTTAGCCAGCTCAAGGCTTTGTTCAGATTTTGTACACCTACGGTCTATACAATCACAACTCTACGCATGCTTGTATCACAAGGCGTGGGCCGCCGAGGACACAAGTTGCTTGACTGGCGCAAGCGAACGCCCTTTCAAGTTGCCAAGAGAAGGCGGATTCATGATGGTTCATGCGCTTTCTGCGCCCAATCGGCAAAACAAGATTGCAACGGCCTAGGGCCTAGTTACCGTTGTGGGCGCCAATCGCGCCTCAACGCAGCTGTGAGCCGCTCCACGGCTCAAGGAAATGTGGCATTGTTCGGATTGGCAGCAAAATGCTGCACGCCATTGCTCAAGTGATTTCACGCCGTCCATCGCACGTTGTCAAGCTATGTACAGGATCCATCAGCAGCCTGTCAATCAATTTCGCCGTGGCACAAAGGACTGACTATGTACATGGCATCCAATGTGCCTCATGAGCATTATAAAGCAAGATTCAAGCGCACGGCACGGCATCACAAGAAATTCGGCACACTCATTCAGGGTTTGCATATGCGGCATGCGCGGTAGCCGCGCTCGACAGCAACTGCACGCGACACCTCAGTGACGCCTTGCGATTGGTTCAACTTGCCACATGTAGCCTTATGATAAGCGTAGCCCTGACTTGTCGAGATCCACACGCCGTCTGTGTTCCTGGACTGTGGGGTCCGACGCTGTGGAATCGGGCGTGCTCGCGGGATCCTCTCACTGGCCTCTGCTGGACCGCATCACATGATCGGTCGACGATCCTGGCATGCTGGCCTGAACCTCATGTGCACCAGGACTCTGGGCTCGCTCATCGCCGTCATCAAGCATTGGCTTACTCGCGGCTTTGGGCCGCGCTCCACGCACCTGCGCACCAGCCTTGGCCTTCGGCTCTGCAATGCGGGCTGTCCTGACGTCAACTGCAACTCCAGACGCAATGCGCACCTGCACGGATGCCTCGGGAGCATCTGTAACCCGACGGCCACAACACATAAATGCACACATCAAGAATGCAGCGATTGCAACGCACTGGCAAACCGCAACACATGTTGAAGGGTATGCTTGAGAGTTTGGAAGGCTTGCAAGCCCTGGATTCCTTGATTTATTTTTTTTATGGAAACAATATGAAAATAATATGGTTTGGAGATATGAAAACAATATGCCGGAAATATGGTTTCGGGCAGGTTCGTATTGTTTTCATATTCGCTTCCTAATAAGTTTAAATAGACGAATATGAAAACAATATGAAACCAATATGAAACCAATATAGATTTGCCTTTGGATCTGGGTTCTTGGTCCCGACACGACAAAATCATATTTTCGGTCATATTTATTTCATATTTTTTATATATTTTTTACATATTTTTTTATATTTTTTATATATTATAAATACATACATATATATATATATATATCTTTTGTATATTTTTACATATTTTTCATACTTGCCGTATATTTTTTATATTATTTCCATATTCTCTTGTATATATTTACATATTTTTCATAATTTCCATATATTTTTGTATTATTTCTATATTCTCCTTTCATTCAAATCATTCATATTAAATTCATATCTTCACCTTAGTAGAAATCATAATAATCGTTAATATCTTATTAGTAGTCTCATGTAGATTAAAACGGAATCT